AAAAAAAAAAAAAAAAGTAAAATGTGTATTTGTAAATATACAAATGCCTGGACTAGGCTAAACTAAATAAATAATAGTACTCTAGTTAAGTTGCACTAAAGCAGCATAATGGGTTATTGGAGATGGTCTGGGAAACGTCCCAGAGGATGATCAAAGGCCATGCTATGACGATTTTGATCCTTTCCAGAGGGGATGGCTCCTCCCCTTTGGTAGCCTGACAGCCTCTGCTCGAAATCCAGCCTTTATGGTAGAACTGTTTAATCGATACCGATATTGTATACTTTCAGTTCTTTCGCAGGCTTCAAAGTGATCACCCACCTGCTCACAGACCACTGACAGTGATGCTACACATCATTGTTTTACTGGTCTTACATTGTTACAAATCAGGGCTCTCCCAACATTCTTAAATGTAAGGCAACCCTCAAAGTATCTATTATTTATTTATTGTTACACATACGTGTATAGGTTTATGTGCTCATTACTAAATTCAGCTTATAAGCCTTTGTCAAGTTAAAATATAGGTAGCACTAGGTAGAGAAAGACAACACTTATATAGATCCAGGGATATGATGGCATTCAAACCCGCTAAAAAGATGCATCTTTGAAATATCTATCTCTCACTTGTGCCATCTGTTTAACTTGGCAAGGGCTTTTAATAAATCGTACTTGGTAATCACACGAGAGCCTGTATATGTATGTGTGAAAATAAATAATGCCTATTTCATACTGCCAACTTTGGAAAGCACATACTTTTAACATGTATATAAGCCTTATTTTAAAGAAGATTTTTTTTAAACAACTCAGCATTTAGGTAATTTTCATAATTCTTAGTAATTAATTTTATTTTTCAGAATTTACATATTTAACGAACATTATAATTAATTTGACCCTGAATAAGATGTTTTTATCAAAGTTCTGTTCATAACAGTTCTCAGAGAAATTACTTTTCATCAAAAAGTGCTGAACAAAATTAGTTTTTTTGAGAGAGAATTCTCTCTTGCTCTGCAATATTATTTAACTTTTTTTTACAATCCATTTTCTAGTTGCCAAATAGCGTAAATTTCATTGGTAAAAAAAGTTTAGTTATTCATTTATTTTTCTATTTCTTAATACTGTGAAATTTGAGAATATATGGGTGAATGTGAGATAATCGTAAAATACAGAAGTAGTTATAAAACAGGAGACTTGATAGGAATGCTATTTTTTAATAATTTCGTTTTAAAGGGGCCTTCCTGGCCAAGCAGTCTCTCCTTTCTGCCAAACGCTTTGTTAAAAGGAGGACAAATGAACTAATTTATTTAACTATTGTGCGCAAAAACTTTTCAATTAGCTTAAAAAGTTCTCGAGCTATGGCGAGATACACAAAAAGTAAAATTAATACAGATTGCTCACCTGGCCAAACTATCAGGACCATATTTCCTAAATTGCAACTATTTCAGGGGTCAGAAATTTGAATTCATCGAAAAAATGGTATGTTTATTCAGATAAATTATGCTTTCGCTTCTGATATTGTAACCGCCTGCACTAATAAATTAGCATATTCGAAATCACCCTCTTGAACCATTGAGTCCTAGAACATGAAGAAGTGATTATTGAATCGAGATATTCAGGGTGATATGTTTATTTTTTTGTGCATTGTACACTGTGCAAATAAAAAAGCTGACACCATGAATAACTTTAAATCTAATGATTGGATTTTCTATACTAGGCATCAATATTCATTAGTGTGAGCTCCTTACCTTAAATATGCTAATTAATTAGTACAGATTGTAGTTTAAATTGCAATATCAAGCACCAAAATGTACTTCTTGGAGTGGCATCTAGCACATTGTGTTCATCAAGTATGAGCAATATTTTGTAATAGCTGACTGTTTAGAGTGAATTGGATTCAGAAAATAACACTGTTAGGGAAATAAACACTGAGTACAAAGCTGTTGAAAAGATTTATTTGTTACTTGATTACAAAGCTCTTTAATTTAAAAATGAAACTTCAGTGAAAATTGTTTTTTTAATAAATAACAAAAAAAGATATAAGAGGCATGCAGAAGCTATAAGCCCATTTACATTAAATGGAATAAAAAAACGAATATACAACTTATGCAAGAAAATTTTTTTCCAATGTTCAAATTTAATTTGATCTTTCCTCCTGATAAACATTACATGTTACACTTTTTTTTCCTCACACAAGTGGTGCATCCAGTTTTATATTTCTATTTATCACTGGAAGACATAATATTAGAACACATGTAGAATCATTAAAGAGCTAAAACTGGATTCTGGGAAAAATCTCTATTATTTAAATGAAAACATGCATTAAAGTATGAATTTCTAGTTTAAAAGAGTTTATAGAAACAAAATATATACTTATGTTAACTTATGAAAATAAAATTCAGAATTAATATTACATAGTTTGAATGTACTAGATCAGTGGTTTTCATCATTTTCTTAACACCAATGATGCTATTTTGTATTCCAGGCCAGGCATGAACGATTTACAAATTAAAATTAATGCAGAATTTAAAAATTTTAATGATTTTAAAAGATGTTTATTTTTATAAGGATATTTATTTTTATTCCCATGTAAACAAATTTGCTGTACCTAGTTGTGTCATTGTTTCTCATAGAAGAGATACAGTATTAAAATCCATTTTATTTCTCTGCTTAAGTTTTGTTATTAATATATATCTCATAAGTTTTTCCATTTATACAAGACATTCTGTAATTATTGTTTTTCATATATATTTAATATTTAAGTTAGGAAAAAATTAAAATCATGCATTCTGATTTAAACATATACTTCTGGTAAAGTTAAAATTTCCTTTATGTCAAAGAGGAGATAATAAATTTCTAGACCCGTTTGATAACGAAACGAAATTTCCTCAGGCAACCAAACAGGTTTTAATGTTTTTAATCTCGATTTTTCCCATCTTTAACATTTTTATTCATTCTTCAGGTTCCCAACTCCTTTTTGGGATGTTTTCAAAAATAAATAAAACTATTATCTTAATAAAGAACTTCTTGTTCTTTTATCGACATCAATTTAAATATTTTTAACTCTCACTTAAAATAGTAAAAGTTTGATTAATTTATTATTGATTAGTTTTCATCGAATTCAATTGTAAGAATTCTTTTTAATTTCAGATTTTGAGTGTTTTTTGGCAATGGGCAGCATGACCATAAATGTAATAAACTTTTCTTTTTATTTCACAGTATTTAATATTAATTTATAAAATATGATAAATTGAAAGCAGAGAAAAAAGTGTATAAATGTTATCTTATTATGTTGAAAAGAATCCTGCTAATATGAGCAAACATTTCTATATAAATCTTGATCTTGAATGCAAACACCCTAACAAGCCAGTTTTATTAATGAACCTGATAATATTATTTTCTTATTATAAAAAAATATTTGTTCAAATTTTGCTATTACAGAATGATTTACATACATTATTTTTTTTCTGTAATTGTGGTTTTATATATATAACCACTATTTCACACAGCTTTCAATAAACATTGATGGTATGGTAAAATTACTTATACATACTTGCATATAAAAGTTGAAAACCACTGTACTAGTCTCTTAAATTAATTTTAATTGAACTGCATTACTGAAAAATAATGCATTTTTCAAAATTTATTATAATTAGAAACTATTTATTAACATCAAATCTTTAGTACAAGGTACAGTATAAGGCAAAAGATGTGTCGTCTAGTTTAATTTTATTTCCATGCATGTAATTGTAAAACTGAATTATAATTAAAAAAGTATTAAGATATAATTATTTTTACTGAGCTAATAATTGTTCCATAAATATAAATGTAGAAAAAGGTTTCAAAAATACAATGTTAAGCATAAATTGTAACATATTTATTCTTAGCATCTCTGTAAATATTGAACATTACATTTATTTCAATTCTGGATTTTCAAAAGCAATGTAAGAGTTCAAATTAAAATTTTTAATTGCAATATTCTTAAATCATAAATTTGAATCTTATGATATTTTAAAAAATATAATGTTACTCTTATTTATGGTGAATCACATTTTTTTAAAAATTCCTTAAGTTTATGTTGAATGTTAATTATTCAATATTAACAGATTTTTAAAACTATTATTTAGAAGAGAAATAAAATGTAAAATGGAAAGTCAAAAGAAATAGTAATAAATCAAGACTTATACTTATTAACTAACTAATAAATGAGAATATCTGTGCTAATGTTATCTACATCTTTTTTCTACCAGAAAAATTGCTCATACATAAACAATTTTTTTTTTTTCAATGAACTTTTTATTTTTGTGTTAATTTGAGAACCTGGGAGTTATTTATTTTGTAAAACAAGTGTTGATTAGTTCATTAAATAATTAAATTGCTATGTGCCTCCTTAAATTCATTTATTTTTATGCTTCTTTGTACTACTGGAAGTAACTTTTTAAGTGTTGGAGAATGGTCAAATCGATGTATAAGAATTTCCTTGGTTTGAATATCAGAAAATATAAATGTTCTCAAATTAAAGTTTGTTTTTCAGTCACGTTATATATATATATATTAAAGTTAAAAAAATGTAATGTCTTGCTACATAATAGTTTAATATCTGTTCGAAAATTTATTATGATCATCATAATTGTTCTAATACATTTTAAAAATGTATATTTAATTATTATATGCATGAAAGAGAATGCAATTAATTTTGAATAATAGAATAAATCATGACTTTAAATAATTTCAGACTGGAATCATAAATCTAGCTCAGGAAATTCGTCATTTTATAATTTCATCTAATTATAATCATCAGTAAATAAACTTTTAACAGTAAACTTTCTATTATAACTAAGGTAATTAAATAATTTGGGTATTACAGGGTGGCTACATACAGTTTAAGGTTTTAAAAAAAAATTTCAGCAATTAATGAAATAAAATTTAATATTGATCTGTTAGTTCCATGTGCATAAAATTCATTATGTAACACTCTCACACATAAAAGAAGTAGAATATATATTTAAAAAAATAAAATAAATTACCAGAATAAACTAAACAGTGTAATACATGGAAGTGCTGAAGTCGACAGCAATAGAGAGATTAAATGAACAACACTAATTAATGACACACCAGTGTAAAAAGTGAGCAATTGGTAGTACTGGAAAAAAGTTATCAGCAGTTAGTATAAATGTTTATGACGAACACTATTCTTTGATTTTTCACAATTATAAAAATTCCCTCACTTAGTTGTGGTGCCACCCTGTAATTAGCAATTTTAAAATTATGTAACTTGCTCTGTATGGAAAGCAGAGTAAAATTTTAATCTACATTGTTGGCATAGAGAGTTTTGTTTTTCTTCAAAAATTAAGCATGAAATGATTTTTTTCTCTTGTCTTATTTTAATCCTCCAAGTTAGTATTCTAAAAATGTAGTTTTACTATTTCTAAAAGCATCTGATGTAAATACTAATGCTTGCAAATTCTGTAGCAGCAGTCATAGTAGTTAAAAAAAATCATTTAAAATAAAATACTTTATTTTAAATAGTGTATTGTTCATTAAAGAATGGATAGTGTACCAGTTTTGGTGCCTTTTAAAAGCAATATTATTATTTTAGATAATAATAAAATAAGTCTACATTGCAAGTAAGTTAAAAATAACTGTTTTAATAAAATAAATATCTAAAAAAATACCCTTCATTAAATGCAGATTTAAAACTTTAATTTATTATTAGCAGAATTATCTTCAGTGTAATACCGAATTTTTATTTTTAAATTTTGCACATCTGTGTTAAAATTGATATCAAATTGTGTACACACATGCAAAGCATACAATTAATTTTGATTTCTGAAGACATACTGCATACTTAAGAAAAGTAATGAAATTGTCTTAATTTTGTTAGTTAAGACAATTCAAGGGACAAGAAGAAATTCCTAAAGCAGAACATTTGTCTACCTTGGAGGAATACTTTTTTTAGAATGAATTTGTTACTCAATAGTAGTTGACATTTTAGAAAGCAAACTGCATTAAAAACACTTTTTCCCCAACCTATATATATTTANATAAATAATAAGTGTTCAGGGCCCTGAAAAACGTCGTTTTTAGGTATGCTTTGAAGCATTTTTTTTCTTTTTTGGAATAAAGATATGCAGTTTGATGCTGTAACATATAAAATTATCAGATAATATCCAAACACTACAAATGATAAATACAAATAGACAGTTGTTCCATCAGTTGTAAAGTCAAATTAATATTTTTTAGTAAATTAAAATTGCACAAAGTAAATCACGACTTGTCATGTGATTATACATTATCTCTGCAGATAAAAACAAATTACATTTTCTCCAGTCATAAAAAAAGATTGCACTCAACACAAATAAAGAAAAAAATAGTATCAACACAGGCTTAAAGTATAATTGGCATATTAATAATTGATTACAACAAAGAATGGGTTTCGAATTGCGTTCATGGAATGATTAACTTTTATGCAATAATTGGCAATAAAATGATATTTTTTAAAACAGTGCTTAAATATAGAGTATAATTAAAAAAGTTAACAAAGTATAAAAATCTACAAACGGTTAAAAAAGTGTAAACTTTTTGAGAGACGTTTCAATGAAAATGACGAGATGCAAATGAAATAAACAGATCCTACATCTTAAAGAGAAAAAAAATATTTTCATCTATTATACAAAAATAAACGTTGTAAATTAAATATGAGTAATAGAAAATATAAAAGGAATGATTTTTTAAAGAATGAATAAAAATATTAAATTTGTCTACTTTTGTGTTAAAATAAATATATTTAATGGAATGACTAAGTTACCACTTTCAAATTCATATATATATATATATTTTAATTAAATACTATACCTTGGAATTAAAATGTTAGGGAATGATTTTTTTTATATATAAAAATATATGATACTATAACTATTTAATTTTGGAAGCCTATAAAATAAGCTAAGTATAGATTAAGTGAATATGGACTAATATTCGTTTAATCAATAAAAAAAGGGGGGGAACAATAAGATTTAAAGCATATGTAACAGTAGCAATAACAACACATTGAGCATTAAACTTAGTTTTAACAAATCACAATTGTTTTAAACAAGCTAAAGATACAGCAATATTTCAGTAAAAAGTGACAAAAGTAATAACAAAGCAAACTGTACAGGTCAATTATAAAAAAAGCACACTAATAATTTACAAGCCAGTCAGTCATCCCCCAAACACCATCACAAATGTTTTCTAAAAATTTAAATATAGCTCTACAATATTTATTTATTTATTTTAAATCACAGCCCAGTAGTGGTATTTGTAGTTTGCTAGTGGAATGTTATTAGGGGAAGTGAGAGAACTTTACAGTGATTATTTACAAGAAAACGCTCAAAAAAACACTAGGGACGGCCGCACTATCACGTTGGCACTTCTCCAGGAGGCTAGTCAGTAGTAATCTCGTTTAGGAGCCACAACTACTGTCTTCTTGCCTTGCCACAGACTGCTCTGAATTGTAAAGGCATCAATAGTTGCAGTCAGATGCTTTGTGTGGATTTGAGTGAAGGATTTGCCGCCAGAATTGTATCTGAAATTATTAGAGAGTTATCCTACTTATATTTCGCTTAATGAAACATTATGATAGGATCATAAATTTTCATACAAAAAATAATGCAAGATTGATTTTTTTCTTTAAATAATGACATTTGAATGAAGAATTTTTAAATGGATAGAATACTTCTTCAGAAAAAAATTTTAATTTTTGACGATCATGAAATAATAAATAATTAATAAAAACTATTTTTTATGTTGAATTATCTTTGGATAAAGGAATTTTATAATGATGTGTAAAATTTCTTTATTTGCTTAACTTCCAGAGATATGGTAAAATATGGAAAAAGTGAAATTAACAATTAAAAGGCATGAATTTTCAACTGCTTTCTAGACTAAACTATCAAGACCATATTTTTCAGATTGCTGCTACCTTCAGATTCTGATGGTCAAAAAAATCAAATCTGTTTAAAATCAGGAATGTTCAGGAAAGTACAATTTTGTGTCAAATTTTTATAACTTAAAATATTGCATGCACTGATTAATTAACATAAAGTCAGCCCATTGAGCCTTTAAGAAAGGCACTTAGTTTAAGAAAATTCAATCATTAGAGCAAACATTATTCAGGTTGATATCACTTTTTTCCTTCCTTTCTTTTTTTGTGTGCATAGAACATCCTGTAGAATAACTAGATTCAAAGAGATCAATGAAGTAGAAATGTAAACGCAAACTGAAGGTAATTTCAAGATGTTACTGGTTATGTATAAAAATATTAAAAGAAATCATTAAAGTTAATTTATACATTAAATAACACAACTCAACTACAATACTCCGTAAATATGTAAGAAATTTCAACCAATATGAAAAATTGTACATATTTAAGGCTTTTTATAATTAAATGATTTTTCATACTGATTCCCACAATGCATATTTACATAATTTATCATGTGACTCTAAAAAACTCCACATCATGGTAATTATTTACACTTTTCAAGTAATAGCAAGATTTGTTTCATTATAAAATTTTTCCACTTTGGAAATATTAGCATCTTGTCTTGTCTAAATTAGTTACTAACACATTCACTGTTCAGAAGATCAGCAGTAAGATGATTAAGATTATTTCCCTCCCACACCTATTCGGTAAAATAATTACAACCCACTGATTAAAATTTTTAAAAAATATGATTAATGTTAGGAAAAAAAACTTACTTGTAAAATCTATCCATCATTTTATTTGTGATGACTCGAGGCCCAATTCCATAGAGCTTGATCACTTCCTCTGTCTCAGGGTTATAGGAATAAAGAGCTCGAAATTGGCAACCAGCATCACGAAATAAAATAAGGAAATGTTTCCCCTCAGAGCGCTCTATCTCCTATGTCGGAAAAAGGCAGAGATTAATATAAATACAGAGCCTAGTTAAGATTTAATTGTGTTAAGTTGAATAAAAGAAAAAACGAGTATAACTAAAGTTATTTAACTTTTTTTTTTCTCTTATGATTTTTTTTGAAAGTTTTGTGTTTAACATTAGTTGAAAAAAAATCACAACTGTTATAATCCAATTAATTAATAAGCCAACATTTTCAAAAATTATTATTTTTAAGTTTCGATAACATTGTTTAATATATCTATCCTATAAAACACTGCTATGATGGATTCATATATTAATTGAAATCTAGAAAATGTGTTATAGTTCCAGTCAAAGCTCAATTTGGAAGGTAATGCATTGCTCAGTTTCTAAATTTCACAAATTGAAAATTTAACAATAAACTAAATAATTAGTACAAAATAGTTTTCACAAGTGTACATTCGAATGTTGTTTCTAGCTGTGAGAAGTTTCTAACAATCTTCTAGAATTTGTTTCAAAACTAAGTATTTCAATGCAGACAGACAGTAATTAAAAGTCTTCAAGATAAAAATTTCATTTCGATACTTTAATTTAACAAAGTTAAAATGCAAACAAAAAAGAGCTAATATAAAAACAATAGAGAAATCACATCCAAGCAATAAAATAATAACAAATCTAAGTAACCGGATTCTCAAGCACTCACCTCCAAAACTTTACGTTTTGTCTCCGCATTTACAGCACCAGCCAGGACGGTATTCACGGCATTTGTTACAATACCACGATTTGATTTAGTGGAAGGCTTAACGAAGAGTTTTGGACCACTGTATTCAGAGGCCCAAGCAGAAGATACCGTGGAACTGCTATCAGACAAACCATCGCTCGGAGTGTTTCGATTACGACACCCACCTCCAAGCATATTGGAGAGTAAAGGTCCAGGAGACGATGGATAAGAGGTAGGAGAAATAGGAGAAGAATGGGAATAATTCCTTGTCCGACAAGGAGAAGGAGCATAACCATGCTCTGAAGATACTTCGTCTGGATATCCACCTAAAAAATTATTGTATGCTAGTGAATGCAGTACAAATAAAAAAAAAAAAAAGAGGGATACCAAATAATTATAAAGGTCATGGCTCTACAAATAGGCCATTTTTAAGCAACGATAGCAAGAAAAAAAAATTATACCTCCAAACTTCGAATTTTTTTAAAAAAAATATAGAAGATACCTGACAAGAAAAACAAAGCAGTCATGCTCAATATTTATTTTTCTTTCTTAAAAAAATACTAAAATTAAAAGTTTTGATTAAAGTGAGGGAATCACAACATAGTGGGAGAATATTTTTAATTATAAATGTGTTTAAAATAAGAATTTAATGAATGTTTAAGTAGTATATGTCAGTCTTTGACCGTTTTAAAAATACCAAAGTGTAACAAAAATATGTTTTGTTTTTTTTAAAAATTAGTCTTTAAAAACATTAGAATCATCCTTCATGAAAGTGTCATTTTCTTACAGTGAGGGAATGGGAAAATATGATTGTTAGTCTTCGAAGTTTATCCGATAAATAAAATTAAAATAACAATATTTATATTCTTAAACTATTCTATAAAAGGAAATTAAAACACTAATGCATTTTTAGAGAATAACTAACTTTTTAAACTACAAAAGTATACTTATTTTACAATGAGGGAATGAGAAGTATCATTTGTTTCTGGAACTTATTTCCATTAATAAAATTAAAATAATATTGTATATTTTTTAACTATCCATTTAGAGGAGATGTAAACACTTTTTATAATACATATTTAAAAATTAAATTAACATCATAAATTTAAATTAGGGAATGAGAGTGTCATCTCAACACCTATTCAATTTGTTTATTCAGTTTCTTTTTATAATGTACACTGTTTCAACCCCAATAATAATGACATTGATCTGACACATTCTGTGAGAAATAATGATTTTTGTAATTATAAATGGTAAGAGTTAAAAGTGAGGGAATAAGATTTTAAAGATTTAAAAAAATATTTATTTATTTAAAAATAATTATTATTAATGTAATGATATCTTCAAACTATAGATTGAACAAATAACTTATTATTTTTCTACAGAAAAAACTGAAATATCCTTCTTTCAGATGCTTCTTAGTTTAATTACAGAGAATTACCCATTAAGATTAGCATGAAATGAACATCTGTAGTTAAAATCCTGGCACACAATGCTCTTTTTTCATTAGTTTATTCCAAGCTTAATTCTGCAGATTTTGTTATACTAGACGCCTATTCTTATAGCTGTTAAATTAGTAAATCATATGTTACTTAGCTGCTTTTTCATTTACCACTGTCAGAGTTATCTTTTGTACTAAGTTAAAGTACTAAGATTTTTCTTCATTATTGAATCTTGCTTTCCATATAAAGATACTCTTTAATAAAATAAATATAATTATTTATTTGAAGAGCTTAGATTATAATACCGTATATTCCGGCGCATAACGCGCCAGGAGGGAAATAATATGTTTCTGAGTAATGTGCTTTTATTTAATGGAAATTCTATGAAAATTGAGAAACTGCCTATCCCGAAACAATAATGTGTAATAGTCTGTTATATAAATGTCATTTTAAGAAAAAACATATCTATATAACCTAAAGCTGTTATTTCTATTATTTTTCAAATTAACATTGATGCCTTAGTTTCTCATATTCAATGTAAACTATCCCTATAATTTTATGACTAATTTATAGTTTTGAGCACACATAAAAAAATTTGCAATGAAAATTTATAATTTCATCTTGCTGTTTTTTCAATTAAAAAAATCTCAAATTAGTACATTTTTAGTAACAATATATTTTGTTTCTTTTTTTCTTTCTCATTCCCTAGTTGCCAATGTATTTGTGAAAAATAGCCAGTACATGGTAGACATTGTTAATTTTATATTATAGAGGTAAAATGTAGCAATAGAAAAACATAATCATTGAATAACAATTACCAGCAAGGTTATATTGAGACCCTCTACCAACAGGAGAATCCAAAGAAGAAGGAGATGATAAATTTTGATTACGGTTATTGGATGACTGCCCACTGCGTTGCCTCGGTCTAGTCACTGAAGCAGACCTAAAAATATAAATATAATTTAAAATACCAAATTAGAAGAGCATCACTTAGGTTTCTTATAAATAAGCGCAGGATAATATAAAATTTTTCAAATATTAATGTACAGTGGGCTATTTTACTTTTTAAAAAAAAAGAAGAAAGAAAAAAGGACCATCCTGAATAATTTTTGATCTAATGATCACATTCTAGGGACTCATTCTTAATGGTTCGAGGGGGACTTCAAATATTCTAACTAATTAATGCAGAGGATATTTCAAGTTACGAAATTGGGCACAAAAACGAACTCTTTCTGAATAAACTTACCCTTTTTCAACATATAAGTATTTCTGACCCTCAAAAATATAATGGTAAACGCAATTTGAGAAATATGGTCTCAATAGTTTGGTTAGGAGAACAATCCAGAGTTTAGATCCCTTAATGTTAATTTTACTCTTCGTGTATTTCGCTATATAATATATATATATTTACTAAAATTTATTTTTTTGCATGTAATTATCTTTGGATAAACGAATTTTATAACTGTGTGCAAAAAATTTTCAATTCACATTAAAAGTCTAAACTTTGGATCACTTTTCTGACTAAACTATCGGGACCATATTTCTCAGAATGTGGCTACCTCTATATTTTGCGGGTCTGAAATAAGAATCTGTCAAAAAAAGGGTATGTTTATTCCGTCAAAGTACGTTTCTGTGTTCTTTTTTCAATATATTAGAATTTCTGACCCTCAAAAATATAAGGGGTAAATGCAATTTGAGAAATATGATCCCAATAGTTTGGTCACGAGAGCAATCCAGAGTTCAGACCCCTTAACGTTAATTTTACTCTTTGTGAAATTCGCTATATAATATATAAATATTTACTAAAATTTATTTTTTTTTGTATGGAATTATCTTTGGACAAACAAATTTTATAATTGCGAGCAAAAAATTTTCAATTCCCATTGAAAGTTCTTGAGATATAGTGAAATACAGAAAAAGTAACATAAAATTAAGGGTCTAAACTTTGGACCACTTTTCTGACCAAACTATCGGGACCATATTTCCCAGAATGTGGCTACCCCCATATTTTGCGGATCAAAAATATGAATCTGTCAAAAAAAAGGGAATGTTTATTCCGTCAAAGTACGTTTCTGTGTCCAATTTCATAACTTAAAATATCATCTGTACTTATTAATTAGCATATTTGAGGTCAACCCCTTGAACTTTTAATATTGAGTACTTCATCAAGAAAATCTGATCATTAGATCAAAAGTTATTCAATTCACAGTGGCCCTTTTTTCCCCCGAACACTGTACATAAAACAAAGCAAGCAAAAAATAGAAATGTTTAAATCAGCATTATCTTTTTCTGGATATAATGGATTCAGAATGCGATAATATTCCAAAATGTTTAAATATAATTCCTTCAAAGTGATTTAAAACAAAAAAGTACATCGACTTAGACCTTGTTATAGCTCTACCAGACCAACTACTGAGCTGTTACAAATTAAATTAAAGAAACATAGGGAATTAATACAGAAAAAGAGAAAAAGTACCTTGATTTAGACCTAGTCATAGTTCTACCAGAAGAGCTTTCTTCTCTTCCCCGAGATGGGCCACCAGGCGCACCATCTTCGTCCTCTTGTGCTTTTCTCTGACGGTACTGTTCTAAAATCAATTGGCGCCTTAATTTTTCTTCTTCTTTCTTCTTTTCCTGCTGCTCTCTCTTCATCCTGAAATATAAAGAGGTAAAAACAATTTAACTGCAGGTAATAATAATTCATCCAAAAGACTTTTGACTTTAGTTTTGCAAAATTAATATATCTTATTTTTACACTTTAATATCTTATTTCAAAACTAATTCATAAAAATTTTAAGAACAGTAAGTTTCTTAGTGGCTCTGATAGTAGAGATCTAAATAAGTCCTTTAACTTTGATTACTGTACAAGATAATCTAAAAGTAGTCGACTAGCATGAATTTAATGGTTTTAAAATCTTAATTTTATGAAAGCATGCTATATAAAAACAAAAGATAATAAATTATACTAAGTTTTACAAATTAGCAGAATGAGTATCATATATAAAATTTACATGATAATAGTCTGAATTGTTAGATGATCATGATGCAGTATAAATTAGCTTTACCTGGAAATATTAAAATAAAATATGTAAAATTTGTTTTTAATTAAAGGCAAATGCTATTTCTATTCAGGTACAAATTTTCTAATGTCAGGAAAATAAATTGTTTAGTCAACAGTGAAATTGCTTCTAGATATTTTATCAGCCAATAATTCAATGAATACATAAAAATCAAACTTTAAATCTGTTAAGCAACAGAGATTCCACTAAAAAACAATAAGCAAAAGATGCAAAACTTAGTTACTATCTTTTTGAAATAACTTTTAATTTTAAATATGTTTAAAAAGAGAATTCAAATTTTTAAGAAGATCTTATGATATATCTTTGCTATGCAACATTTTATGATAAACCTATTTAATAAGTGAAAAAACTTATTAACTGTGTCACAATTAATAAACAGGAAGTTAAATTTACTTTTTTTTTTATAAGCAATATGTAAAACTGTGCCCAGCCAACACATACAATTAAAATAATGAATAGAAAAATTGGAAAGGATTATTAGAAATTATCTCTTAACACTATTAGCAAATCGCTTTCGTCTAAAATCATATAGTAGACCAAGCAAAATAAAAAGGTTTAAATTTTATCCCTAAGAAATTGGTATATAAATGCGTGCAACCAAATCTATGTTAATTCAGTAAAACATATTTGGAACTTTTAATTTTGATTGAACAAACTGTTAGCAATAAAAAAATAAAAATGATTGCACAGCAATTGCTGTTGGTGAGCGAAGGAAGCAGGAAGTACAGCATTGAAAGTAAAGTAATAACTGTGTTAGCATTTTAAAAGTTACAAAACATATATTTTCTTCAAGAGCAAATTATTTACAAATCTAATTTATTTGTATTTAAAGAAGTAATCTAACATAATTTGCAGCAGGTTTTCTTAATATTCTATTCCACTATGTTCTATAAAGTTGACTCTATAAATATTTCCTGATTCATGCCAAACCTAGCTTCAATATCCATATAATTATTGTTGACTATTTTTTAGTTAGCACAAATTAGTGAAATAGAGTGGCAGCTTGAAATGAAACCCTTTCTTGAAACTAAAGTTTAACTCTAATGATTTACACATAGAATGAACAATTGAAACAATTTAATGCAAAAATATTTATTTTGTAGTAGGTCAGAGAAATTGCACCACTGGATATCAATTACTCACAATATTAGACACACAATATTTTTACAATTTGAAAATAAGTGTATTTATTTTTCAAAACAACTTTTATGTTCACTTATCAGAACAAGTTGACACATTTTAAAAGTTTCCATTAAAAATGTATTATTGTTAATTTAAATAATAGATTCTACAAGACAAAAGTATCATTTTTAAAAGAATTAAGGAATAGCACACTTAAAAAGAATAATTTAAAATTAAGTGTAAAATTTAACCAATATTTTTGCTAACATCATTAATAATGATACTGCACAAATTTTTCGTTACAATAAAAAATTATCTATCCAATACCTTTCCTCTTCTCTTTTCCTTAGATATTCTTGCTGTGTTTCATTTTTCTTCTTTTCTTGTTCAGCTCTTCTTCTCAGTGACATCATCATAATCATTTCTTTTCTTCTTGTCATTTCCATTTCTTTGTCCTACAAAGCAAGGAAATATGTATATCTTTAAAGTTATCAAAATATCTAAAAAAATATGAGTAACACTATATTAAGTACATGAATGATATAAACAAAAGAATGAAGCAGAAAAAAATTTCTTGGTATCCTTTTTTTTTAAAAAAAAGATTATATAAATTTATTTTTTACTTTGTACTTCATAAATAAAAATTAAAATTTTTTCAGTAAATATTATTGCATTTCTTAAAATTTTTTTTTTAATTAATAGAAATGGGGCTTCCAACTCTTAGAGCTCAAAAAAAATATCAAATATTTTTTTTTTTAAATATTGAGTGAAATTTAAAAGATAAGTGGGTTGGTTGGGCTTTTTTTTCAAACTAACAAATGAATCATAAAAACTAACTTAAGACAGGTTCTTTGAGTCTCTATATTTATATCATGTCGTGGTGTGATAATTCATTATACAGTCAACGTGTGACTCATAGTGAACCTTCAAGGGACCGAAATTTCTGTTCACTATAACCGGGAGTTCACTATATCCGTTACGCAGGCAATTTCACTAATGGTTCCCAAACTCCTCCCTTTTATTACATTATATTCATATAAATGACTGAAAAATATTATGTAGTAGCAAAAAATGTGTTATTTTTCATCACTCTTCGTCTTGCGTACAAATAAAAATTAGTAATCTTTAGCTGATGAGCAATCCTCAACATCAGATATGGAAACACTTCCCGACTCTCAGATAATTTTTCCTGAATTTCTGTTATTCCGCTTTTTAAACCTGTCTAACCTGCCATTCGAGCACATAAAAGTAGTCTCATAAAATCGCTTAGCAAATTCATCGACATTTGTCCAGATACTTCGATTGGTGAACCACTTCAGTAATGCTTCTTCAACATCCTTGTGATCTGCTTTTCTCAACTTTTTTCTGCCATCTAAATTTTTTTCATGAGCAGAAATTATTAATTGCCATTTTTCCATATGTTACAAACAGCAGATTTGGATAGTCTATATTCCCTGCAAATATCAGCTTGATTGCATCCATTTTCTATTTTTCTGATTATGCCCATTTTATCATCAATGGAGAACGTTTTACGTTTACTGCTCGCCATAGTTAAATTTGAGACACTTGTTTGCAGGATTTTTTAAACTGAACTGAGAGCGAAAAGGAGCTGAAATGAGGGCCTTATCAACACATATTAGTGTCTAACCCTTTGACCAATAATGAATAATTGCTCATTCCCTCTGACATAAAATGCATATTGACCTGACTGACACCTCACAGGGGCATCGTCTGCCTGTGTTGGAAACAACTGCTTGGTTTGTTTAGGGATGGGAAAGTGAGATAAAAGAAGCAAACAATAAAAAATGCTTATCGCTTCATTCCCCTTTGTAGATGGTTTTGAAAATCGGTATATGTATTTCTGTTTCGAAGTAGAAATTTCAAAATTATTACAAAAAAAAAAAAAAATCAGTTAAAGACCGAAAAAAGTTCATTATATCCAACTTCCTAACCTTTTTGGTTCACTATATCCACAAAAAATAACATTATCCGCGTATAGCAAGGCACGGGACCGAACATTTCGTTCACTACATCCGGGAGTTCACTATAAACCGTGTTCACTATAGCGGGGTTTTACTGTATATGCCAATATAATGGATTAATGGGGCAATTACAAATAACATAGTTCTTACAAATAACATCTTTTTTAGTACTTCATTAGAAAATAAAAAACCAAAAAATATTTAAAACACGTTAATCAAATATCAATAATATTAGTATATCAACAATATTTCATTAGTAACTTATGTTAAGATGTAAGAAAATTATATGCAATACAAGGAAAATAAATTACAATAGAAACTAGAAAAAAAAAGGTTCATTTAATTGTAATAAAAGAAATTATGAATATATTTGATTTTTTTTACTACATGAGTTACTTTTAAATAAGCTATCATAAAATTGTATTATTTTTATTTAAAATATAAATAAATTCTACATATTCAAAGTTTTATGAAGACACATCAAAATTTTTTTAAATGTATCAAACATATCCATATAAGAAAACAGTAACAGACTGAACTGGAGTAAAGCATTTAGTATATAAAATCACTAAAAATTGTCTTTAATTTGATTTACAAATCGTTTTTTTTAAAATTGCAAGATGAGAGCAAATTAGGTAACTTAAAATTTTATTAATTTTTTCAAAATTTATCATTGTTAAGCAATCTATTTATGCATAAAATAATTTTGTTTATAAAGCTTACGGGATCATTTTCAACTTGGACACTTCCTACAACAAAACCAACACCACTTTGAGCTGGAGTACGGTCTCCCCTGTCTGGCAAATTTTCTTTATTAGAATTATCCTGATTCTTCCCATCTTCAGATGTAAGATCATTATCTCGTCCCAAGCCATCTTCTGAATAATGTTTTTCATACTGCTCGTTGCTATTACCAGAAGCATCTAATTTTCGAGACTCTGAGTCCATCTTTTTTTGCTGATTACGAGCTTTCAAATGTTTTGGCTTCAGTTTAGGCTTAGGTTTACGAGGTTCTTCTTCAAAAGATATATAAAAACCTTTGTCATTTAATTTTTGTTCACTTTCATTGGGAACTGGTTCAGGTTTTTCAGGAGGCTTTGGTTCCTGAGAGGAGAATTGAGCAAATGAAGTCTGTTTGAAGTTAGGTGAAGAAGGTGATGGAGCTTTTGATTTAGGTACCCTAAATGTTTTTCCTAAAACAGGTTTATTAGGAGGGGAATGCTGAAGTTCAGAAGGTCTAGTATGTCTCCCAAATTCATCAGTTGCTATACTTAATGCTTCTTGATTAAATTTAGAATTAGAATTATTGCCAGAATGTTTAACTTCAAACTGAAAATCAGAAGGATTACTTCCAGTTCTGTGTTGATAATTATCAGTTTCATCAGCTAAATATGTTCCAGATGGGTTACGATGTAAGTGAAATCCTCTACTCTCATTTCCCTGAGTTGCATTTCTAGTGAATGTGTTTTGCATTACGGGATAACTAGATTGTTGGTAAGTGTTATATGGATATTGATTTTGTGGCTGAATATTATTTGGCTGGGGTTCATTAGGAAAATAAGAATTCATATTGTAATAGTTATTGTAATTTGGCTGAGGCATCTGTTGAGGATGAAGAGCAAATCCTGGTTGGTTATATGGTACACCAGAAGTTCTATCATACATGTGCGGCTGAATATTTAGAGGCTGGCCATACATGTTTTGTGGCTCGACAGATGGAGGTCTTAAGGCCTGGGATGATTGCTGCCACATTGGAACATTTTGCTGTTGAGGCTGCTGTTGTTGATAACCACTAAATGGAATAACTGGTTGTCCCCAGTGTCCTCGACCTCCTACTTGTTGAGGCATTTCAGGCACCATCATGTTTGACTGATACATTGAATTATTTGGAAAGGAATTTACAGGTTCTGCCCATTTGTTGGGAATTTTATTTAATGTACTTGAATTTTGATCATGTAAAAAATACGACTGCATTTCATTTTGGGGAGGAGCATTTCCACTTTTTAACACCTTTTGGATCATCTCCTGTTGTTCTGTAAGACGAGAAATGTCTGATTGCAAATCAGATAAACTTGAATTTAGCTGTTCAATAGATTGTTGGAAATCTTCTGACTGACCATCATTTTCATATTCCACTTCACCTTTGCGCTCTAACCATTTCCTTCGAACACTGTCTAAATCTTCAGAAATATCTTCAACAGAGAATTGACGATTTCTGCTGAAATGATCATCTCTGCCTAAAGTTGAATTATTTCCTTTAACAGCTTGAAGAAAAGCAGCTTTGCCCATTTTCTCTCTCTGTTTTTTAGACAAATTTTCAAGAAGGGCTTTTTCATATTCAATTCTTTTACGTTTTTCTTCAAGTTTTAAACGAATATCATGCATCTGGGAAGCAATAGAAAATTCTGAAGTGTCTTCGTTTTTTTGATCTTGTGATTTTGCAAAATCAGAGGTACTGTAATTTGATGTTGGACTGGGACTATCTAATGATTGATGAGATTTGTTGATATGCAAATAACCAGGTCTTGTAGCTTTTTTGTATGTTCCTTGATCTATTTCCTTATCTTGATGCGTGTATACAATATTAATACCAGTCCCAGAGTTATTTCTCTGCTTAGACAAATTAGCAAAGCTTACAACATCACCATGCTCTCCAGTGTTCCGAGAGTCATCAGAGTTGTTTTCTAATTCCATATTTTCTTTGTTCCATTCTGAAGGGGAAAATAAATCTTTTGGTTTACGCCAAGTTTGACTGCCTGACAGAGATCTATTTTGATTTTCTAGTTCTGCATTAGGAGCTTTTCCATAGTCGGTGCTATACCTCCTAGTAGGAGGTGGATTTGACCCAGAATTATCTAGAATACCATGCAATGATTCATGATAGGAACTCCTATTTCGGCGTGGTTCTCTTGTAAACGTCCGTGGTGAAAAATGTTCATGGGAAACAGATTGTACATGATAATTGTTATCATTTTCAGAACCTTGCTTAAGAGAGAAGGAAGAGTTCTGTGACAAATGCATATCAGATTGACTCCTTTTGCAGGAATAGCCACGGCCTCTTGCTGTCTGTTTGCTAGGAGAAAGTTGGTGTATTTCATATGAAGAAGGAGATCTTTGCAAGTTAGACTTTGGAGGTGGTTCTCGAGGCTCAGCCCATTTTCCACCAGTAAACTCATTGTTCTCACTCAATGATTCCAAATGACCAGGAGAAGGAGTATCCTGATAAGATTTTTCAGAATGAAAGACTTGATAGGGGCCCTGTGACTTTTGACCATTATCATTTCCTCCAGTGTGCTTTGTTGAGCGTCGATTGTCATCTTGTTCTAATAAATTATGTTGAGACTGAGCTTGGGGATGTTTTGAAGAAAAATAACTAGCTAGCTCATCATCCTCTTCTGCATGGAACCTACTGAGTAGAAAATAAATAAATAAATAAAATTATTTTTCAAAATAAATATTAAATGATCAAAATGTTCAGAAGTTGTAACTATAAAACTAACCTTTGACTATTTACTGATGGCACAGAAAGCTCTCCTCGTCTATTAACTTCAGAAAAATTTACTGAATGAACTCTCCTTAAAGATCGAGGACCTGAAATAAACATTAAAATACAAATTATACACATTTCTCAAAAATAATTCATGCATAAAAATCGGGAGCCTGATTCAGCTATTAAATTACTTTGATTGAACTACAATGCAGATTTATACTATTCAGACACATAAAAATAATTTAAATTTACCTTCTAGTTTTCTATCTTCTTGAACACTAATTTTTCTACCAGAAAAGGATCTTTGTGGTGCTTGCCAGCTTCCACTTAAAAAAATAAAATAAACATTCTTAAAGTACAGAATAAAAATCTTAGTCAATAATATCTTTTCAAGTGACATCACATCATTGAATAAATATAAATAAATAAGGTTGTAACTGCAACCAAATATGTGAGGCTATCAAGAAAAATGCACGGGGAAAAAAAAAATTCTGTTAAGATTATTTGAGCTCTTTTGAAGAGTTTAAACATAGATAAAAATGCAACTTGTAATTTAAGTTATTTTTTAATAAAAAATAATGCAGAAAGTAACTTTACCTTCTAGTAACTTCATAATTTCCTGAGCGCAAATCAGGGATTGGACTAACAGACTTTTGAAAATTTCTAATTCTGCAATTCTGAAGAGGTGACTGTCTTTGACCATTGATATAATTTACTGGAAAAAAAATAGATACTACATTATGTTACTTCTTAAAGAAACAACGATTAGTTAAACTCAGTTGCGTGAATTAAGTCATTTTGATAATTAAACTGAACTTATAAATACACAACATAACAAGCATAATAAAAATATAATAAAACGTATCTGAAAGGTTTTTTCTACCAGTTTAATTTTATTACTAATTTTATTCATGAACTAATTTTATTTCTTTTAAACTGACTATTTCCATATTCAAAGGCCACCCTCATTACTTACAAGTAAAGAATAAGATAAGTCAAAAATTGCAGAACCCTCCAGATTTAATTTGCTTTATGTTAAAAATTATCTATATCTATTCTGCCTTTTAGATTATATTCTGCCAATAATTCCAAGCATAAGTAGTAGGGTGTAACACTGGATTTTATTTGACTTAGATTAATGAATTATTTATACAATATTTTTAAAGAGATCTTGTTAATAAATGTACATTTTACGCTTTTTTGAGATTCTTTAATATAAAGAGATATCAACTTGCACAGCACTTATTTTTATATCATTACATATTTAAGACTGTCTGAACTGTAGTACTACTTTTTTCTGAATTTTAAGTCACAGGTTTTGCTGCATAAAAAACCCAGCTTTCCTAATGTTATTATACATAAAAATAAAAGCTCATTTTTTAAAATTATAAAATAAATAGAGTTATTAACTTGAAAAGCGAAAAATATAAAAGTCTTACAATCAGTCATTTTGGCATCATCATCTCTCTCCATTTTAGCACCAGGTCTGCAGACGTGTTTAGGGGGTCGAATTTCAAATATATACATTAGGTCTGCGATAAATGCAAGTACATTGGGAACTATTGATGGGTGCATATATACCATATCTTCTAGAGAGAGGCAATAAATGTCTTGTGGCAAATGTTCTTGACAAAATGTTTGAACTAATTGTAAATTGTAAACTGAATCCGCTAAACTAATAGGGTCATGCAAGTGTATATCTGGAAAAAAAATAAGCTAATTATTACTCAATCAAGATATTAAAAACATGCTAACATGAATTGTTCAAAATTCTACTATAAAAACTGTTTGACATATTAAAATACAAATTCCTTACAAATTAATATATAAAAGAGAAGCAATACTGCAAGCTAAACAAACCAGGCAAAAACATATTTTTCTTTAATAAAAAAAAAGTTTCAAAATCATTAATTTAATCCCTTTAGTCATTATAACTCCATTAAGACTTTAAATAAATGGAAAAAAAATTAAATCTTTACAAGCTTAGAATGCCCCAATGCATTTTGTGTAAGATTTTATTCTAATCAACTAATCAAAATTAGAATCAATACATCATAATTTTTTCAGCTGAATCACATTTCTTTTGCATCAGAATTAAAAGAAATGAAAAATTTTCATCATTTTTCATCGAAACTAAAATTTTACCAAACATTAAAGTTGATGAATGTATAATCATGATATTTATGTTCATATAACAGGGATGAGAGTAGTCAGAGAGTAAAAAAGAGGAAATCTAAGAATATATAAAGATATATATATATAAAAATCGAACTTTTTTGTCAAATTTTTGTTTAAACTTGTAATACATGTGATTATAAATCCCGAATGAGGCATTTAAATGACGTGAATATGAAACTCTACATCGAACTTAAAAAATGCGAAAATACAAATCATGATGCGTAATATTTAGATCAAGATGCATAATCTTAAAATCGCGCGATATTACAACCGCAAAAACGAATCACGACATTGGATTTTAAGCTCGCGTAGCTACATAGGGTTTTAAAAGCTCGTAAATACAAATCGCGATATTGGTTTTTTAAATCTTGTAAATAAGAATCGCAATGTACAATATTTAAATGGCCTGAATAAGAATCGCAACGTTCAACTTTTAAATCAGGTAAATACGAAAATCGATGTTTGATAATAAAATCG